TGTTTAATTTAGAATGAAATGGATATATTTACAAGTGGTTTCTGAGAGTTGAAATTAGGACTTTTGTGAAGTCTCAAGTCATGTCAGGGGAGGGGCAGGTGTCTGAGGGCTGAGGCCATTTATCATCTGCTCTTTTTATTCATCACTACTATTCAGGAGGGGTGTCTAAAGAAATCAATCAATAACTATTTTTGAGTCAATCTATATTAGAACAATTCCAATATTATAAAGAACAGTTCATATTTCTCTTCACAGTAATTGTGTTGACAGCTTGTTACTCATTAAATGTGTGAAGTTAGAGAAACAATACTTTGTTTTACACTACAATATTAGCACTATCAAGGTCATTACAAAAATCAATGGGGAAATGTAGCTGAACTATACTGAATTTTCTATCACTCTGCAGGGATTCTCATTTGTACTCTAATTTCAATACAAGGTATTTAAAAATCGGGAGGAAAAAGTTCCTAATTTGTAAAACCTCCTGAGAGAAACTGCTGTTTCTACAACAAAACAGTATCATAAAATGATTACAGCTTATGAAGTTTAAACGTCATTACCAAAAGGGACCCTTTTGCACAGCAGGTAACAATACCCAGTGGCCAGCCATATGAGCCTGCTGTCTTGCTCTGTTTTGTTTTCAAGTGGGTTACAGCTGCTCAATTTGCTAATCCCAGTTTATGCAAAATACTGATACTGACCATCCCGGGGGGGAGTAGCCCTCCACAAGGTCCCCTCTCTCTTCTCATTTTCCCTGTAAATCATTTATTCACACAACCCTTCCGGATTTTCTCTTAGCATCCCTATGTGAAATGAGATGCAGAATAATTCAGAACTGGGGAAGGAGGGCAGGAACTAGGATTTACTCAGCACAATGTGCTAACTGCCTTACATCCTGCCTTAACTGCCTTACACAGATTACCTCACTAATTCTCTCACAGAAAAGACACTGTGGATGACATGCCTTCTCCCTACCCCCCAACAATTCCCTCAGACTGTGGGATTTCCTGTTTCATTCAACTTTCAGGCTGACCATCTACAGAAGAAACAGAGTTATACACATTACAAGCTGAGGCTTAGAGAGGTCAACTAACTTGCCCAAAGCCAAATAACCAGCAAATACTAAAGTGGGGTCTAAATTCAGGTCGGCCAGACTCTTAACCACTATGGCCCAGATCTCCAACAAAAGTTTTTTACAACACATCTGTTTCAGAAAGAAAACCATTTTTGATCTTGTAACTTAATTGTTTTTGGGTAACATGTGCACTGGAGTATTAATAAGTTAGATTTACACATAACATGAAACATCAAAATAGAAATTTTAAAAGGATGGACACGAGTTGACCCTAATTTTCTTTCTGCACCTGGTGAGTTGACTTGCTCCCCCCCCCCCCCCCCCGCGAGGGTGTGGGCCCCAATCTGGAGTTGTTGTGCCAGAGAGAGAGTGAACCAGAGTCTTTAACTCTTTGTTATCCAAGAGAAATTTGTAATTTGAATTTCTCTAGTAGTCACATTAAAAAAAAAGAAGAAAAAAAGAAATGGGTGAAATTAATTTTAATAATATATTTATTTTGTATTCTTTTTTTTTTTTTAGATTTATTTATTTATTTGACAGAGAGAGAGACACAGCGAGAGAGGCAACACAAGCAGGGGGAGTGGGAGAGGGAGAAGCAGGCTTCCTGCTGAGCAGGGACCCTGACGACGCAGGGCTCGATCCCAGGACCCTGGGATCATGACCTGAGCGGAAGGCAGATGCTTAATGACTGAGCCACCCAGGTGCCCCTATTTTGTATTCTTTATTTCATGCTACGTTTAGGACTCTGGTGTGTGTCCTATACTTCCAGTGCATCCCAATCTGCACTAGCCACATTTCAAGTTTCCACAGCCACATGAGCTAGTGGCTACCGTGGTGGACAGTGCAGGTGACTCACCATGATGCGTCAAAGAACATTTTCAGAATAGCTCTGTCATCTCAAAGCAGACCAGGTAAAGAATTCTGCAGTTATACTGAACCTTACAACTATGGCACAGAATGGGCTTTTAAATTCTGATTGAGAGAATTATTGAAGTACGAAATTATTTTTACAGTACGTGAAGTGTCAAAATCAAGGAACTGTAGACTACAGATCATTGAGTGTTACATGGTATTATCTATTAGTGAATATTAAGGCTGTATGCTCCTTGAGAGCAGGGGCAGTGAATGCTTTTTGCTGAAAGGATCTAATGGAAAATGGAAAAATAAGATTCAATTTCATTAGTCCTGGCCCACAACATTAATACACAGCATAAATGAAATTTTAGGTTTGATTAAGGTAGCCCAACTCTGATAGGGCAACACTTTGAGTTCAGATGGAGGCCTAATTCCCATGGGATTCTAAGGCATCACAGAGTATTAGATTCTTGAATACTGTATATGGGCAATACTAATAGGAATTCATTCCAGCTGCTGAAATCAAAGCCATGATGAGAGAACGGACAGGCAATGGGACAACGGACAAGGAAGAAGCCGCGGGGCCAAGCTGGGTCTGGATCAGCACTCAGCCTGTTGAGTGTGGACGGGCCACTTCACCTCTCTGAACCTGTATGTAAAGGGACGGCATGTTTAGACTTGAATTCTGTAGTATTTTAGGGTGTGCTGAGAGGGGAGAGAGGACAGCGAGGACCAGGCACAGGGTAAATGTACAGCAGCTGAAGACGGTGGCGGTGGTGATTTCCTTGTTAATACTCACTATCTGATCCTGGGGAGGATTTGCAAGTTTGCTATTCTAATTCTGAGACACAGAGTGCTGTGCTTAAACCAGGGTTATGATATGTGCATCTTATGGGCTGGATCGTGTCCCCTGCTTGAAGCGTATATTGAAGCCCCCACCCCCAGTACCTCCGAATGGCACTGTAGTTGGAGACAGGGCCCTCAAAGAGGTCCTGATCCAATGTGACTGGTACTATCAGAAAAGGAGAAATGTGGACACACATGGACACATCAGGGATGCGCATGCACAGGGGGAAGACCATGAGAGGCCACAACGAGGAGGTGGTCGTCTGTGAGCCAAGGGAAGAAGCCTCAGAAAACACCAAATCCCCCAACACCTGGACCTTGGACTTCTAGCTTCTCTTAACTGTGAGGAAATAAAGTTTTGTGGCTTAAGCCACCTGGACTGTGGTTATTTGTTACAGTGACTCTAGCAAACTCATACAGTGCATAAAACCATCTCTATCCTACCCCACAGTACAGCTGCTTCCCTTGGATTTACAGTCGAGCAGCCCCTCTGTCATGCCTGAGGTGCTGTGGGGAGGAGGCGTGAGAGCACGGACCCTGGGGCAAAGCCTGCTCCTCCCCTTGTGAGCTGCGTGATCCCAGGCAAGTTCCCTCATTCCTGAAAATCAGAGTTCCCTTCTCCTGTAAAAGGACTGATGTTTATGTCACAGGTCATGAGGATTAAATGAATACTCAGAATACCTAACAAAGAGTGGCTTCTACATTTGTCAATGCGCAATTCTCATACAATTCTCTGTCCTCCTTCAGGTGTGATGAGTTGCAACACCGAAAAGATCACTTCAAGGAAGCAGACTGGCTGTCAGGCAAGATGTCTCTTTAAGTGAGTCTTCCCTGACATTTAAAGGCCTTATAATGTACCGGCCTCCTAACTGGTCTCTGCCTCTAGGCTCACCACCTGTCAGTCAAGCCCCTCCACTGCCTTGGAATGACACTCTGAATCCAAGTCGAAACGCACCATCCCTGGCGTGTAACTCTTCAGGGCTCCCTACTGCATGCTGCCAGCAGCACCAAGCCTCAGCACCCCACAGGGAGCGTGCGGCCTCCCACCTCATCTCCCGCCCATGCAGCTCACCTCCCAGCTCTACAGATCAAGTGCAGCTCCACACACCACTTACCACTCCAAGCCACCTGGGAATTCTGACACATTACTCAATCCTTCATCCCTACCGTGGGAACAGTTCCACACACTTGATACAGTTGCCGGGACCCTTACGCGAGATACTACTGTATGTAAATCTTGGCTGGCACCCACCAGTGCTAGTCCCCGAGGCTGCGCCAACACTCTGAAGGGCAGGAGTGCAGTGCACCAGGCTCCCACTCAAAAAGACCAGTCAGAGTCCAAGTCTGAAGGCTCTTAACCGTTACAAGTTATATGAGAAAAAAATCTGACATGAGCCAAAAAGAAGAAAGAACTTTATATCCGTGTCAACCTCAGTGCCAGAGCTCAGGAGTAACAGCAGCTACTTGTTCAAAGTTGCCTGGCACTCTAGGAGTTCATCAAAACAACCACCCAGTCCTTATTTCTGTATGCTTCATAAAGCCAAAATCTTGTTTTGTATATATGGTCTACCTTTGTCCTCCACTTAGAATTTTAAACAGAAAGCAAGAGGTTTCTAGGCATTTAAGAAAACATTCGAACAGGAATAAACACTGATTTCATATATCAGTGAACATCAAGGTATATTATCACAAGAGGTAACTACAAAGCTCTGTTTTGCCTCTGATAGCACTTACTTATTTCCGGGGAAATACCTCTTTATTCACAAATAGGAATTTGAAGTTGTTAGAAAAAAGGATCACTGCTGCTAAGAAACAGAAACGTTATCTGAATGCCAAACAAAACTTCTGGGGGCTTTTCACCTCAGGCACTGACAATGTAGGATATTTACACATTGCTGATGTGTTTCTAAGCCTTCAGACTTGCATAGCCACAAACTTTGTAGACACTGTGCCTCCTCAGAATATACTGAACACTAAGTTAAATTTTTAGAGTAAAAAAAAAATTTCAATTTTTATTTTTCAAGCCTCATTGCTTTCACACTACGATAAGTATGGGAGGAGTAATACAGGCTAGTTGGTAGGACAGAGCATGCGTCTCCAACAGAAATAAAGCAAGCCAAGCCATAGTACCCTCACTGTCTGATCATACCCGCTTCCCAGAGTGTATATATGTGGACAGGTAAAAGTGTCTGTTAACGGGGTCTAATCAGAGATCGACTCTTACCTTTGGGCAGGGGTGCTATAGCTGTTATCATAGGAATCATAACTCTGTTCATCATAAGCAGTGCCATATCCATCATCATAGTCCTAAAATAAAAGAGGAGAAGTACAAAAAAGGTCAGAAAAGTTTCTGGAAAAAAAGAACCACTCTGCTTTTAGTGACTCTTTATTAATTCAGCTAACATTTAACTATATATCTAGGTATCGTGTAAAGAAAAATATAAGAGTGACATCAGTGAAAATGATGAGTAAGAACCTCCAAATATTTTCTCTACAAAAGCAAAAAGAAACTGGCAAAAATTGTCAGAATCAACATTTTCAAAAGTCTGAAAATTAACAAAAGATTTGCAGAGATCTAAGGAGCATTTATTTTTAAAAACTTGGCTGAATCTTGGTACAAGCAGTGAGCTCTGTGATGTTTTAATAAGTCCTTTTCCAATATACCACTCCCAGCTCTGCAGGAGCCTTGAAAACCAACAGCTGTAACCACAGTGGATACCAGCAGTCTGGGGGCCACTGGAGGAAGCAGAAAAGGGTGGAGTTCTTTCAAAACCTCATTCCCAGAGGATTTTATTTGACCTGACTTGGAGCTCATCCAGTGCAAAATGCCTTTTCCCTGGGGGTATTCAAAGAAAATAATTAGAGGCAATTATATAAGATTTTAGTTCCTTGAGGTGATGGAGCAAATAACAATCTAACCAAAAGCCAGCAAGAGAAGTGGGAAGATGAGATATCCATTTGCCCTTTGAATAACTCTGACACACTCCTGGGAATCTAGAAGGCTACACGCCTGCACAGTACCAATGTAGAAGCCAAGCCCAGGAAAGTCCTGGGAGGACCCTAAGCTCTCTCTTCAGGATGACCTGCAGGTTCAGCACAAGAAGGAAAGGCAAGGCCAAGGAAAGAGTCAGTTGTAAACCAACTGGCTGAGTCTTAATGACTTGTTCCAACATGCTAGGGGCTTAGTTTCCAAGCATTCAGTAAAATCTCTAATCATTAGCTGACCACTAAGGTAACAGGAGACACTTCAGTGACAACACATAATAAACTTTACAGTATTAGTTTGGAAAAGTCACTAAATAAAAAAGGAAAACAAAAAATACTGGAAGGAAGGAGCATTTAATTTCCACAGTTGGCACATTAAGTTAAATCTCTAGGTTTATTTTTTAAAGATTTTATTTATTTATTTGAGAGAGAGCAAGCAAGAGAGAGAGAGAGAGAGAGAGAGAGAGAGAGAGAGAAGCAGACTCTCCGCTGAGCAGGGAGCCCGATGCAGGACTTGATCCCAGCACCCTGGGATCTTGACCTGGGCCGAAGGCAGACACTTAACCCACTGAGCCATCCAGGCACCCCTAAATTTCTAGTTTTAAAAAGAAATTAGGTGATATGCAAAGAAACATGAAGTATGGTTCATACATAAGAAAAAAGTAATCAACAGAAACTGACCCTGAGGAAGATGAGACACTAGACTTACTAGACAAAGACTTTATATAAGTTATTTGAAATATATTCAAGAAACTAAAGGATACTCTATGTCTAAATAACCGAAGTATGAGAACAATGCCTCACCAAATAGAGAGTATTAATATAGCTATAGAAAATAATAAGGAATCCAAAGAAATTTTTGAGTTGTAAAGTATAATAAGTGAAATGAAAAATTCACCAGAGAGGTTCAACAGCAGATATAACTAGGCAGAAGAGAGAATAAGTGAACCTGAAGGTGGATAATTGAGATTATCCAGTTTGAGGAAGAAGATACAAAAAGATAAGGAAAAATGAACAGGGTCTCAGAGACCTGTGGGACAGTATCAAACATGAACATATGCATAATGTGATACCCAGAGGAGAGGAAAGTAAGGAGCAAAAATAGAAAATAATGGCTAAAAACTTCCCGAATTTGATGAAAAACTTTAATCTACCATCCAAGAAGCTCAAAAAATTCAAAGTAGGGTAAGCTCAAAGAGACCCACACCTATATACATCATCATCAGAATGTTGAAAGACAAAGACAAAGAGAGGATCTTAAAGCAGCAAGAGAGAAGCCGCTCATCATGTGAAAGAGATTCTCAATAAGAGCAAGAGCTGATTTCTCAAGAAAGACCATGGAGGCCAGAAGACGATGGGATTCCACATTCCAAGTATTAAAAGAAAAAGACTGTCAACTAAGAATTCTATAACCAGCAAAGCTATCTTTCAAAAATGGAAATATTAGAAGCACCTGGGTGGCTCAGTCATTAAGCGTCTGCCTTCGGCTCAGGTCATGATCCCAGTGTCCTGGGATCGAGCCCCTCACTGGGCTCCTTGCTTGGTGAGGGGCCTGCTTCTCCCTCTCTCATTCCCATTGCTTGTGTTCCCTCTCTCACTGTGTCTCTCTCTGTCAAATAAATAAATAAAATCTTCAAAAATGGAAATATTAATGTATTCTTGGGTAAACAAAAACAGAGAATTCATCAATAGCAGATATGTTCTATACGAAATGGTAAAAGGAGTCCTTAAGGTAAAGTGAAAGGTCATTAAAAAGTAACTTGAATCCACATGAAAAAATAAATAACACTAATACAGGTAGCTACTTAGGGAAAGACAAAACTATAAACGTGTTTTTGTTGTAATTCCTTTTTTCTCGTTTGATTTAAAAAAACAATTGCATGAAGAACTAACTGCAATTCTGTGTTGATGGGCACACAATGTATAAAGCTGCAACTTATATGACAGAAACAACACAAAAGTGGGCAAGTAAGGACAGAGCTACAGAAGGAGCAAAGTTTTTGTGTACTGTTAAAATTAAGCTGGTGTAATTTTGAAAAAGACTGACATAAGTTAAAAAGTAAACTGCAATCTCCAGGGCAGACTAATTAAACAAACAAACAAACAAACAAAAAACAAGAAAAGAGAGGTGCCTGGGTGGCTCAGTTGTTTGAGCATCCAACTCACATGCATGCGCACTCTCTAAAAGTAAATCAATAAAACCTTTTAAAAAAAAAAATAACAAGAAAAAAATGACAATGCAGTTAAAGTGGTGCAATTAAAAAAAATCTAACAACAAAAGGAGATAGTAAGGTACAAAAAAGACTTAAGACAGAGGGAAAACATAGCAAAATGGCAGATATAAATCCTATCTTATCAGTAATTACACTAAATGTAAATGGACTAAATAAAATGGAATAAAAAAAACAAACTGGCATCATGTTTAAAAGAGATCCAACCACATGCTGTCTACAAGAGATACACTTTAGATTCAAAGATAAAAATACATTGAAAAAAAAAGGACAGAAGAAGATACACCATGGACATACATATCAGAAGAGAACCACCACAGCTGCACTAATATCAGACAAAACAGACTTTAAGACAAGAATTGTTACCAGAGTAAAATCACATTTATTTATAATGATAAAAGAGTAAGTCTATCAAGATGATAATTATAAAATTATATACACCTATATAACAACAGAGCTCAAAAGAAATGAAGCAAAAACTGACAAAATTACAGGGAGAAAGAGATAATCCAACAATAATAGCTGGGAACTTAAACATCACACTTTAAATAATAAAAAGAACACCTACAAAAAAAATCAAAAAAGAAATAGAAGATTTGAACAATACAAAATAATATACCTAACACACATCTATAGAACACTCTACCCAGGAAGGGTGAAATACACATTCTTCTCAATTACACATGGAACATTCTCCAGGATAGACCATACATTCTCCCAATGCAAAATTCACTACAAAGCTAAGTAGTCAAAACAGTGAGGTACTGGTAGAGATGCAGATCAACAGAACGGAACTGAGGGGACAGAAATAAACCCTCCCAGCTATGGTCAATTCATTTTCAACAGGGTGCCAAGACAATTCAGTGGTGAATAGAATAGTCTTTTCAGTATATGGTGTGGGAACAACTGAATACTCACATCCAAAAGAATAAAGTTGTACTGTTACCTCACACCGTATACAAAAACTAATACAAAATGCATCACACATCTAAGTATACAAGATTAAATTATACAACTCCTGGAAGACATCATAGGTGTAAATCTTTTTAATTTTGGAATAGTCATTGGTTTCTTAGATATGTCAACAAAAGCACAAACAGCCAATAAAAATATAGACAAAATAGACTTCATCAAAATTAAAAACATATGCATCAAATGACATTAGCAAGGCAGTGAAAAGACTATCCACAGGATGGAAGAAAATATTTCCAAATCACATATCTGATAATGGTCTAATATTCAGTATAAAAAGAGCTCTCACAACTCAACAATAAACAACAACAACAAGAGCAAAAGCCATCCTCCTAGTGCTACCGGAGACAAGCTTCAAACTGAGGACATTCTGCAGATGTAATAACAAGCACACTACAGTTATTTTAAAAGCACTGTGGAATTCAAAAAGGTTCAGAGAAATGACCATCTCATAAAATCAAATCAGATATACTACAATGACATTTATGTCCATGAAAGTATGAATCCTACCCTGAAACTGATTACCAAGTTTCTGGTGTTAGTCAATTATAAAGTGACTTTGGAATACTTGCTATTTACTTAATATTTAAATGGGCCTGAAAAAAAAATCTATTTTGGAACATTGGTCTTACCAATGTTAATCAGTTTAGTGATTACCACCAGATCTCTTGAAGTAGAGAAATATGGTCAAGGGGTAAGAAAAAGGATCTGGAGTTAGGTGAGCTTCCATAATTTACTATCATTGATTTTAGTCAGGCTCATTCCCATATCAGAGTCTGTTTCTTTGCCTGTAAATTGTGATCCCTTAAGTATTCTGAAGGGATGGGAAATTATATATACACACATGTGTACATATTCCAGCAAAATGTGTGACATGTATTAAGAACTTTATGAAGGACAGCTTATATAATTAATTGTTATATTAAAGCATTACCTATAAAGACCTCTCTCCTGGATTTCTAAAATAATACAACGAACAGATAAAGAACATCAGAAGCCTCTACATGCAAGGGTATGAGCCAAATAACTGGTTTTAAAGTGACTACCTTAGTTTATTCTTTCTTAAAAAGCATCTATTAAACATTAGACCTCAATCTATTTCGCTTAGGTAAACACAAA